TAAAGTTACAGCAACCGCCGTCTGTCTAACTCTCTGCATTAGCAGGGAGGAACCCGGACGAAGCTTTGCCGAAGGGCAAGGTTTCGTTCGGGGAGGTTGACAGCTCTCGAACCCACCTAGGCGGGTTCAAAGGCTATATTTTTGGCCGGGCCTACGGGCTCGGATTACCCACATTAAACTCGGCCTTGTGCCACATTCGATCCCACGTGGGGGGATAGCTAAATATAACTATTGTTTTAACTTATTGGCATTTCGTATCTATATATTTTTGTACTATAGGGCAGAGGTCGGCAACATACGGCACGCGTGACATACGTGGCACGCCAAGCAATTTCCAATGGCACGCAGCCGCAAATGATATCACAAAGTCCGAACCAATAACTACTACAATGCAAAAAAGATATTTAGCTGTTTCAATTTGAATATATACTAAAGTATATAGACTGTATATTACTATATAAAATATATTGTAGGACGTATATATTGGCCTTGACTTGTATAAAAATACGTATCCTGTTGGCACACTGAATGATTTTAAAACCTTAAGTCGACACATACTTAGGAAAATGTTGTCGACCCCTGCTGCAGGGAACTATCGACTACGTATGTTCAAGACTAAGCAACCCGTGGATTAAGCCGTGGTATGGTTTTCAGGAAAAACCGTCTGCCGCGAGTTACCCTTGATCTTGCATTTGATGAATTAATAGTATTAAAAAAAACCTTTCCAACGGTGATGGGCTCCATAGCCAGATATTATTATTATAGAGGTCACCTCTCTGACAAATCAAGCAGGGAGAGATTTCAACCCTGGTCTTAAAAAATAGCTTACTATGTAAACATGTTAACATGTTTACTATGTAAACACGTTCACTAGTGAAGTGGTTAACTGTTTGTGCTGAATTCTAATACGATATTGACGAATTAGATTTAACTGGACAATGAGATATTGGTCAATTAGACCGGCTAGTTTCCACTGTGTTCATCTCAACCTGGGAGCCGCTCTACTATTATAAAACGTTGGGACCTCTTTTGTGGTGTTAGAACAATCTACCGAGAATTCAAGAAAAAGAAGAAAGTAAAAAAAAAAATCATGATGTATAGTCTTTTTTGTCTGTGAATAAGAACAACAGTTGAAGGGTTTTAACGAACCCGACTTATCTTCTCTCAAAAGGCATCAGTTGGTGACTTGCCCACTAGACTCTCGAAAGACACTAGCAGACTATCGAAATAAAATCAGCTCGAACCAACAAGTATCATAGCACGAAATATCCTTTCATCTTTAATAAATTTCTGTCGGAATATAATTCATTCTTTCGCCATTTTGACATACAAGAATTCAACCACAAATTATTAGGTTGGTGCAAAAATAATGACGTAATAATGTTGTTCTTTGACGTTAAAAAATACGTCAAAAAACGACATTATTACGTCATTATTTTTGCACCAACCTAATATAATGAAGCTACCGTGATGATCCAAGCAAAAGTCGACTCTTCCTAAGGGTAATATAAGTTATGATATTGTTGCTAACTTCATAATTAGAGCATATTTTCAATTAGTAAATTATTTTTCATTTAACTAAGTCACGGAGAGTAACTATGGCGGCACAGTAATTACCTGTTGAATAGTAAAAAAAAATGAAATAAGAATCTATTTTACGGTAATTTTTCTTGGTTATTTTCCGCAATCAGTCATTTGATCTGTTTACCATTCAAACAGCGAATAATGTTCAAAGTTAAAATGAAAGCCTGACAGGATTCTGAAAAAGAGGAGCCGGCGCAGACATTGCGGACATGGTGAACCTAAAGACAATAAAAGATTAAAAAGAAGATCCAATTATATGGATTAAGTTGATTTTCTTTTTTCTATTTAAATTTTCTTTGCCATTGTAAAGGGTTTCGATTATCAGGCGGGATTGAAAATGAGAGTGATACTGATGAGATGCACGCATGCGCACACACACTTCCATGCAAGACCGATCAAAAACAATCACGATGCAGCATTCGTTTCCGTTCGTGCGAAGACCGTGAAGTCGAGTCAGGAAAACCTCCTGACACTCGAGCAGGTTAAAAATAAAATAAAAAAAAATAAAAAACGCTGTAAAAACAACGGATAAATTGTCGCCATTTTATATTTTTAATTTCACGCGTGAGCGTTGTTTTTGATTTTGTCGACTGCACAGTATTGTAGGGTCAGTTGGGCACCATCTGTGAGAAGAAAGAGCACAATGACTCAATTCACTCCTCCAGAAATTTGGAAAAAGCATGCTTTACTGCTTGGCATTCGCGCCGGAAACTCCAATGCGAACATTTCAGAGTGCTTGAGTGTCAAACTGTGGACAGTGCAGAGGATTCGGAAAGAGTTGGATGATCCTAATGGTGATTTCGAAGGTACGGCAACTTGGAAAACTTACTCTGATCGTTGTGATAAGAAAATAACTCCCGATTTTGTTGGTGAGGTCCTTGGAGGCCTACATCAAATGCCTTGAGGAGGTAGTACTCTGGGTGGCTCCTGGGAGACCCTATATCCTGCAACAGGACTTTGCACCATACTACACAAGCGGAACCCAGTCATGGCTGTCAGACAATTTCTGCGACCACATCACGCCTTACATCTTACGCAAGTTAACTCCCCAGACTGCAATCCCCTTAATTGATATGTGGGATACAGTTGAGCGAGAGATCTTGTAACACCAAAGATCAACTGAAGGCAAGGATTATGGTAGCATTCATCAACTTAAATAAAGAGACCATCCAGAAGAGTTGCAGGAGATTTCGAAGAAGCCTGGAAGTCATGGTTGAAGCCGATGGCAATTTTATTGAATAAATTCACTCTTTAGTATTTCAAGATATTTTTGTGCAATTTTAGTAAATATATCTGTTAAAATAAGATTTCAGTGTTATTTTCATTTTTGCGTAACTTAGACGACAATTTATCCATCGCACACTCTGTGTCTGCATATATATATATATATATATATATATATATATATATATATATATATATATATATATATATATATAATGTCATGATTTAACCTAAAAACGACAATTTTGGAGGGTTTCTCACGATAGTAGCAGGTCATTCCACATCGGTTGCAGGTTTATCCATGTGAAGTCTACCCTTGCTGTACGGTGTGCGCGTTAGGAACCTTACAATTGAAATTAGAGTTACGCGTATTGTGGGCTCAGCAGGCATTTGTTAGCCGAGCTAAAGACGCGTGTCACAATCGGCAGTAAATGTCTGTCTTGAAGCCCGGGAAGAAAGCAAACGGCATAATTTTCTATGCAGCATTTTGGAATATTACCGAAAATCTTCATTCTTTCTTCTTATCATCATTAAGCTAAACTCAACAGAAATTTAAATTATAAATTATAGTTCATAAATGTTTGAAATATAATCCATATATGACATTTCATTTATATTTATGACTCGTCAAGGTTTACAATGAAAGTAACAGTTTACCGTATTTTACTACTTATAAGACGCAATTAAAAACACTCTGCGTTCTATACATTGAAGGTCGTTGAGGGGAGATAAGTGAGCGTCAGCTCCCCAATTACTCCTGATTTTGAGCCCTTGATTCTTAACGTTATTTCCGTATCCAAATTTATATGTATCTAATTTAAAATTAGTGCTTTATCCTGATTTGTGATGAATTCATCACGGTTAGTGAGTATTTCAGGCTGCAATAAGGTTCCGTGTCAGTAGTTTGGTTGATTTTATTTAGCGGGATATCAACCACCATGGGTTATTTAATGCCGAAATATAAATAATTTCAACACCATTTTATGGCTTCAACTAAATATATTTTGAACGCAACTGTATGCTTTCAACTACAGATAAAATATATTGTTGGTCATATATATATAGCTGGTATTTTTACTATTAAAATGTATTTTTATACTTTCATAGTGTTTTTTTTGGGGGGAGGAGAGGAGGCTCAGTATTTCTCCATAGTTTGGACTCTAATAGGTGCTACCACCCTGGGTCAGCGTGGACCTGGGAACAACAGCAATTAAGAAGTGGTTCCATGCTTCTCAAAACCTCAAATCTCCCGATCAGAGACCTTGCTGTCGGATGTACGTGTCAGTGGTATTATGTATTCTAACTTCTAATTCTAAATAGTTACCATAAATTTGTTCCTTCCGTTCGTTCTGCGATGAACTTGTCAAAATTTTATCCTGAAATATGCTATCCAGGGCGTAAAATTGGGGATAGTGGGGAGGAGTGCTAAGCGCGAGGAAGTTTCTTTTCACGATTTCTTCCTTCAATTTTTTTTTAATGGGCGTCTAATACATCGTCTTATAAGCCTCGAAATAGATTATTTGCTACTGCCTGGAACGGTAATGAGAGTTACTGAAGTTCTTTATCTTTCAGTCACTCCAGCATTAACAATCAAAGTATGATAATGAGAAGACATTTGAAGGTATCTGGCGACGTGACATATTTGTGAATGTGCGGTGGTGTAATGGACAGTTACTTGGGGAGCCGAGTTCGAATTTCAGTCACGTTTAGATACATTCACTTCAGCGCAAATATACATGAGAAAGGGTTGACTCCATCTCGTCTCCCTCTGTTATGGGTAGATAACAGAACAGGTCGGGAGCTTGATTCGCAACCAATCTAGGAGTGAAATTCTGAATTCAAAACCAGGTCAGTCTTGGAGAGAATTGCGCTCCATCAGGCTATCTTGCTGAAGCCGCACCACTGCTTCTACTAATGTCCCTACGACCCTACGGGACTCGCGATCTTGACAAGGAAAGGTCTATACATGCTTATTTAGACAGCTTCAATTGAAATTTGAAATCGGTTCGCCGATTCTGCTTTCTTTGCTTTGATAGCTGCTACGCTTATTGAGCTCGATAATTACAAGTTAAATAAACGTTTTGTGAAAAAAAAAAAAAAAAAAATTTGGATGAATTTATTTTCGACTTGCATTGAAAAAACCGCGGGAATTTGGGAAGCGGGTTGAGGGAAAGCACAACTCAAGTCCTTACCGAAGTCGAAGGATCACGGACCAGTTTTTTACCCCCTGAGGAATATTCTCCATACGTATCAAAATCGACGGAACTCTTTCTTGCGGCTGATAAGGTACTTCGTCTCCGGCCGAAATATTTTCTCTTGATGGCATTTCGAACCTGTTCGAAAATAAAAGTAAAAGAAAAAGAACATATTCATGATGATAATTTATGAAACTGTCAGTTGGTTAATACGACGTTCATTGGGAATAAATAACCATTTCAACTACATTCAAGTACAAATCAGATCCGTCATCAAGGCAAGAGACACATAAATCTAAATTCATTTCCCCAACATGAAGATAAAGTTAGCTAATTTTAATGGGCAAATTCTTACTCATGACTCCTGAAATTAAAGGCTAGCACTTGACTCAAACCAATCTAGCGGTGGTCCTGGTATGGATATCTAATGCTATTTATATGTTTCATAAAGTTTCCTCTTGTCATTTCTTTTTCTTCATATATATATATATATATATATATATATATATATATATATATATATATATATAAGTGAACATTGAAGTCAACACTCAGTGGCGACAAGCTGTTTCATGCTAGACGCAATCGTCAGGCCCGCCGCCTCTGATTGTTAACTTCAATGTTCACTTTTATATTTACATACGCCCTATTTCTGATATTGAGCACTTTATCCCATAAATATAGTAGCACACCTTAAAACTATATTTCTTCATACATACATACATACATATATATATATATATATATATAGTGGGGTAAACAAATATTCTTACGCATAAAAATGTTTAATTTATTTTAATTCTAAGTAAACATAATTTTATATAGTTAATTGTGCACAGATGCATAATAACTAAATATGCATAGAAAACAGAAAAAAAAAATGTATTTAATAGAAATAGGCTGTATATATATATATATATATAATAGATTTATCTGACCATGGCGAAACTCGAAGTCGGAAGGTGACATCTTTTGAAATGTTCTTGCAATAATGACCACTTTGTTTACAAAACTATGTTCGTATTTAAACGCGTTAAACTCTGGGAATTTACTGGATAACGTGTTTTGTTAGGCGTTGACTGTCTTTTTTTACGGCAGCACACGCGTGAACGCACATCCGCACAGAATACGGAAACCAAACTTACACCAATAATAAAAAAAAAAATCGAAAAATATAAGAAGTAAATTGCTGATACCCCATGAAGAGTTGACGGATAGGTCCGCATACGAAACTCTGGAGTCGGGATGCTGAAGTTAACAACAATCAGCTAAGTGATAAACTTTTACTTACCATATATACTCGCGTATCATGCGACCTTTGAAGACGTAATTTTGAAGCCAATTCGTCTACAGTAAATGGATATATAACTTGGTCAACGGTGTAGCCAGTGCCAGCAGTGCATACGCTAATAATATATCTTGAGTATGAGGCGATCCCCTTAAAATTGACTTCAAAATTAGGTCTTCAAAAGTAGCATGATAAGCGAGTATATACGTTATATTAATTCACTCTCGCTATATATATATATATATATATATATATATATATAAGCAAATATATGGATATAGAACCGACAGTATGAATAAAAATATATACAGAAAAAACAAACAAAAATCTTTATATACAATTAACTGTTTTAATAATGAATATTTCAACGTCGGTTTTTTCGGAGTCTATCTTATAAAAACTTTCAGTCAGGACATATTGTTCTTAAATGTACATCGTCTTTTGTCATGTTATATTGATAATGTTATAATTTATGAATATGTCCTGAAGATGGTTTACAAAGACCGAAACGTCCGACGTTGACCATATTTATTAAAACAGCATAATTGTATATAAAGATTTTTGTTTGTTTTTTCCCTATATATTTTTCTTTATATATATATATATATATATAATCTACAGTGGCAGACCAATATATACGCAGCCTGACAGTCAGTTTTAAAGTGAATTTGGGTCCGAAGCTTTCGCGATATAATTTTCCATCTGTGCGTTTAATAATCACCACTAAATTAATTTCATTGACAGGGAAAGATATTATATTGAAAAATAAATCGTTCTTTTGTGAAATGAATGTTTTCTTCGTCATTGGACTGTGGACTTAATGATGAGCCTACGTATCTATGTAAAGTTATTTTAGAAAACAATACGGCAGAAAAATTGAACTACTTACATCAATATTCATCATGCAGTGGAACACGAAGAAAAACAGCCCCTGTAAGTAAATAAGAAAAAAAGAATCAATAATAATAATACTACTAATAATAATAATGGAAAACCTCTTTACAAAAGGTTCCCTTCGTCTGAGATCATACGACTTTATGGGGAACACCTAAAATGCAAATCTCAAGTTAAAATAATAATAATAATAATAATAATAATAATGAGTTTTCAAATGGATGAAAAAATGCAAGTAAAGCACAATACACTGACTGAAGCTTCAAAATACTTAAAAAAGAAAGCAAAAGCAAATGCAACCGACCAAATACAGAAATGATGACAAGATAAATCGCTTCACTCCGCCCGTACCAAACAAGCTGATGTAGACAAACCCCGTACACATCAGTGGCTACGTAGTGCAGGGTTAAAAGTTGAAACCGAAGGTTTTTATTCTTACTGCACAGAACTAATGATTGTTAACTAGAAATTACAAAGCAGACATACTAAAATACTGTGTCAGCCCAAAATGCACAGTCTGTGATAAATATCCAGAAACAATTGACCATCTTGTATCAGGTTGCACGGTATTGGTACTCACTGAATATAATACATGGCATGACAGAGTAGGTTATTATCTGCATTGGAAAATCAGCAATTTATTCGGAAAGGAGACTGCAAAAAATTGATATGAAGACCACCCAGACCCGGTTACGGAGATAGGTCCTGTATCAGTTTTATGGGACTTCACAATATACAAAGATAGAACAATCAAAACTAATCGCCCAGACATCGTTATTAGAGACCGCAAACAAAAACTGGCTTTTTATTGATATGGTAGTCCCAGCAGACTGCAATGTATCTTTGAAGATACAGGAACCTTGAAATCGAAATCACAAAAATGTGGCAGATGAGAAAATCATGAGAACATCAACAATTCCTGTTGTAGTTGGAACCCTAGGATTGATTGGAATTAATTCCAATAGATTCATTTAAGACATCCCTGGTAGCCCGTACCTTTAAAAAAAATGTTCACACTAGTACAGCCCACACCTTACGAAAGGTTTTATCTATGTAAAATATGTGGCGTTTTTTTTTTTTTTTTTTTTTTTGTTAAATTGCTCAGTGGAAAATGTCATGATGTCATTTCTGACTCTCTAGTCGGGATCTGTAAAGATATGAGCACCGTATTTTCCGGCTAACAAGACGCACTATTTGTTTCTAACAATACTTTGAAAAATACGTGTGCGTCTTCCAAGACGAATGTAAGTCAACGCCCAGGATCAAGTAAGCTTGGCCGGTCACCTAATTGTCTTGACCGAGAGGGACGTGGATTTGTATATTGAGTCATTACACTATAATGTTAGCTATCTTTCTAATTCAGCCTTTTATATGATGCAACCTCAGTATTTATCTGTTACAAGTATTTCGAAAACTATAAACCTTCCTGGAGCCGAGCCACAAGCTTAAACATGCCCTATTTACTAGCAACAGCAGGAGCCTTTCTGCTCATGACTACTATCTCGTTGCCATAAAAACAAAATCGGACGAGTGATTAATGTAAACAATATGTGACGCCAGTATGTGACGCACGCATGGTGAATGTTGTTGTATGAGAATGACTTTTTTTTCTTAGAAATTTCTTTCCAATATTAGAGTGTGTCTTCCAAGCCGCAGCATCTTGTAAGCCGGGAAATACGATATAAATCAAAGGAAATGAAATACTACTACTACTACTAATAATAATAATAATAATACACCGTGATCCTGATCGAAGTTGCCAGAATGGTGACGTTCAGACCGCTATTATCCCAGTTATCATTGGTTGAGTGATTCATTTATTTTCTACGCGTTATCGACCGGTTATTTAAAGCCAGAAGAATTTTTTGGGCGATGATAATTGTTTAGTGATACAAGTCTTATTAATTAATCCATAACTGGTTGGAGAAGAAGTGCTTTCATACCTTTCCCAAGGGTGTTTGCGGTTAAGTGAATATAACGAACCCAACTGGAATTGGAAATCTGCGTTTCAATTAACAATTCCAAGCCAGTATCCATTAAACCACCCGTATTTCCGAGCCTGTTATAATCGGGGTGTCATAAAATCTTACTTTAAGAATATCAGAATAAAACCTAGTCTGCCATCGCTTCAGAAGACTGTGTATCTTGGCACTATGAATATTCTACGAAAGCCGCCGTACAACTTGATGGAAAACATTCATTTTAAGGGACTTTCGGTTCAAAACCCTAAAACCGTGCTTAAGAAGAAAATAACAATGAAACTTATATTTAATAATTTAATAAGGAATTAGCTATTCCCATACAAGGAAACAGTCGACATTCATTGAGCAGCCAGTACTAATTTCGTTTAAACTTTATGAAATTATATTTTTTTTCTTAAAACAGCTTTTCAGGAAAACGGGTTTCTCAATTCCATTAATTGTTATCATTCTTTCGAGTATTCATGGGGGTTTCCTTCCTAACCTTTTGTTCGAAGTAGTGTGGAATAGCAACATCTTGATTATGTCATTATTTTCTCTTTAAGTTACACTTTCTACCCAATGTATTTTGGTAATTTTACTGAATGTCTTCAATGATGCGGTTTCTGTTATTTGGTAAAGTTCGTTGTTTGTAGCGCGAGTCCATGAGATACGATGAAAGATGATTTTCGCTAAGACCGACATGTTTTATTCGCTCGAAGCCATTTCTAATCATTGATTTTTGAAAATAGTTTAATACAGCGAGCAATGTCGGAACGACTTGAGCGCTATGCATGGCATCCAGATAAGTGTCTAGACCTAAGGAAACTATTTAAGAACTTGACTAAAAAGATAGAATAAAAAAAAAAGAAAGAAAAGGAAACTGATTCGGTTGTCATTGCAGACCAGAACAAATTAATCAGATTCAATTATATGAGAACAAAAATAGCTGAACAACAGAAAAATACCGGCTTGTTCGAGAAAGAAAAATAAAGCAGTAAATAACATTATGGATGAATGTTTTAAGCTGGTTAAAAAAATCTAAAAGCTGGCGTCAAATAGTCGAGACAGTGTTAATATAGGATATAATAATAAAACTCAAACCCCTACCATTCAATTGTAGCAAAGAGGTTAACATTTTTAGTTTTGTCGCAGTTGTTCCAAACTACCTCTTTGTTTCAATTGAACGATACACCGAGGTATCTGAAGTGTTTAGTATTTATTCTGAATTTGATGCTAGATTCAGGGTATGTGCCAAGAGGTGCTTTCATTCCAATTCCAGATAATAATTTCTGTTTTGGAACGTCTCATCTTGAATAATGCGTATTGGAACACTTTGCAGAGAATAACTTTTTTTTTTTCAATATCTATGACTCGGGTCCCCACGTTAAAAACCAACCATGTGGCACAACGTGACTCAGTGTGTGTGTGCGGGGGGCGGGGGTTAAGGTGAATCTCGGATCCCACCAGGAAGATGATACTCTGCTCATATCAAAACCGGTCACCATATTGCGCACATTTGTCTGTGATGCAAGTACCTGGTATAATTTTACTCGACTAGAATTCATGATGGACATATCGGGCTTCATACACCAGCGTCACTTGGTTGACGTGTTTCTCTCTCATTCAGTAATAATACTAATAATGATAAATGCAGCGAAAGCTGGTGCGTTCCGCATGTCTTAAAATTGCGAATTAAGACACGTCAGCGGTATTTTTTTTTTTTCAGTCATTGGCGCATGTGGGGGTGTTAGCAAAAAGGGAAAAGGAATTTAGAGAACGAAAAAGAAAAGATTATTCGTTAGAAAAACCGGCAAATAATTTGACTTTCTTTCTCTTTCATCTTTTATTTGTTTTGATCTAATGAGCTAAGTGAACCCGAAAGCACAAAAGACGGAACAGAAAAAAGAGGGTTTGGGACTGGCCTTTTTGCAGCACACACACGCACACACACACACACACACACACATATGTGTGTAATAAAAAATAATAAAAATGACGCTGGAAAATACCGACGGAATACCAAGACATATGAAATGGGCCCTAAACAGTCAGTGGGATGGAGCAAAACGGATGAGTTTGGGCGAAGAGAAAGAAAAGAAGAAAATGGGTGACCTATATATATATATATATATATATATATAGATAGATAGAGAGAGAGAGAGAGAGAGAGAGAGAGAGAGAGATATTATTAAAGAGAGGGGTTACGTGTATATATATATATATATATATATACAGAGAGAGAGAGAAAAATAGGAGAGAGAGAGGGGTTAGAGGGAGAGAATCACATGTGAGCGGAAACTGTAAAAGTGAAATTTGTATGAAAACAAACATTTTGTTAGTGGGATTATTAACAAGGACGTAAAATCATGTTCATCAGGCGACCCCATATATATATATATATATATATATATATATATATATTGCGATTATTGATACGTAGAACTTCCTAGTAATATTATTATTGTGGAGGACCTAAAACATCCGCCCACCATATATATATATATATATATATATATATATATATATATATATATATATATATGTGTGTGTTGTGTGTGTGTGTGTGTATATATATATATATATATGAATGCACGTGCGTGTGTATGCGTGTGTGAAAACAAAGAAATGTGGTAGATTGATAAGTCATCTGGAAACATCAATGGTTCTCCCACTGATTGCCAGTATGAGAGGCTTGTTTGAGGTTCCAGCTCTAGATAAAGCAACACAGCTGTTACAAATCAGGTTGAGACCAGCTATCTTGAGAGATAGCTCTTGTGCCTTGATTCGCATGGCAAAATTTAAACCCCACTGAAGATTAGGCGATTATAGCATGTATTCAACGGAAAACTCTATTGTAATTATGGTGATCCAGGAAATGGACTTTTTTTTTCTTGCCTGTCCCAAATCGAATAGTTACATCAAGAGTACGTGGAAGAAGCTTCTTGATAACTAAGCGAATTCCATTGCACAGCTATGTAAAGTTTGTGTTTAGCTTGCTGTGCATATTAACATGTTGTTGAAGCAACAGGCGGCTCAAGAGAGCAGAGGAACTCAATTGAGTTCTGAACAGACTCGC